TGGCTTTGTAATCCTGGGGTCTCGGGTTCGAATTTATAACTTGTGTTGGGCGAGGCCGTGGTCTAGGCAACACGGAGTTTTCCTCCGTGGCATCCCAACAATTACTCCATTCACACACTGAAGAAGTCAATGGCAAACCACTTCTGGATCATCTGCCAAGAACGTGTATGAACAGGTCCCAGTCCGAGAAAAGGATGGAAGGATCCTGTTCATATGGACCTGTCGTCAGACAGAACACTAAATAAAATACTTCTTATTAACAGGTTGAAGATGTCCCCACTTTGGTTCCCCAGTCTTCTGATGCCGGCTTCCAGTTTGATCCCAACACCAGCATACCAAGTGAGGGCTTCAAATTCTGACTGCGTGACCGTGCAACCATTGGTCATTTATAGGAGTGGCCAGCGTATACCAATCAAGTGCTGTGACTAAGTGGTTGTATGATACTGTGAGAAGATCTGACAAGCAGTTAATTGTGTTGCCCCAAGATTCATAACAGATGAGGAACATAGAGGTACAACTTCTTTTAGAAAGGTGTGTTATAAATAGTCAGTGGTCTTGCTTGGAAAATGCTGTATGTACCCTACATATATCAATTTTAATGTCCATCCAGTAAAGAAGCAAGTTTGTTTTAATTTATATGTTGAGTATTATGAGCTTTTTGTGCCTAAGTAATACATTGACAAACTCTGAGCATTACAAGTAGGGAGGGTAAGGGTACTTACGCCTCAGTCTCGACCTTGTTGATGCAGCAGCTCATTAGCCTCCAGAATGATTATGTTAATTCCCTTGTATATAATGAAATGTACTAGGTAACGTGTTCAGACCATTTTTCAGGCTGAAAGCATGTCATAACATGACATTAATTTTCTTAAAAATAAAGCATAAACTTAAGGGGCTATGCCATTGAACATTTTTCCAGTCACTAGTTAGACAGTGATTATTCAATTATGGTTACTACTTTCTCCCATTTGACCCAAGCAAGATGTACTTATTAATAATACGTTTTCATCAGCCGTCATGTTCTTATTTGATACATAAAAATGCTGCGTATTAGGGTAAACTTGTGGTTAACTATTATCTTTATTTAACTGTTTATTTACTAATGGCTTTTAATCGTGCATAACACTTGGATGTTACAGCGTTTGGTGATATTATGTACAGACTATAGAGCAATAAGCATCAACTATTTAATAGCTCTATTCATACGGAATTCTCATCAGATGACATCGTTTGTGACTTTTTGACTAAGGCCATGTCAATCGGTCCTTTGTGACTTAGTTTGATTGTAGATATAGCAAATTCTCCATAAGAATAATGAAAACAAAGACTTCACATCATCATGAAACTACTGGTGTTTTATTGTCTCCCTATTCGTGCTCCGTGCCTTGCATTCGCAGTACTCCCGCTGTAGTACACGGTCAAGTTGACCATCCTGTAATCTAATGGCACTATTGGCAGGAAAGCTGACTGCCAAATGAAGTCCTCCCCGCGTAAGAGTTATGCACCGTGGTGATGTGTCTACTGTCTGTTTGTCCTTGCTCTGTTGCATTCCAGACAGTGTGACTACCTGGAAGATGAAGTGAATGTTGGAATATTGGCAAGAAGCACATGCTTGAGCTTGTACATACACTTGCTCCTGCAAGTATTTACCTTTGTCACTTTGGTAGAAGTACGTGTTTGTGAAGCCCTGCGTTGGGGTTTTGGTTTCCATGGTACTCTCTCCTCTGATACGGACTGTGCAAGAAAATGTATGAAGGTTAGGCATTGAAAACATTTTGGTAAGGTTAATGTAGGTGTTTTTGATAAGAGCCATGCAAGCTCACTGTGCGATAAATGTAGAATTAGACACACAATACAGATCAGCTGTTGTGATTTGTACTCTTTGTTTGGACGGTAGACAAGCCTTTGTGACATGAAGTATGAACATTCAAAATACCTTGCTTGTAATTTTCTTTGGATAAGGTTTATGGCAATAAACCTTCAGATTTAGTAACTGCGGACTTTCTTGCTTAGCTGAGATCTTGTATAATGGAGGTAGCTGCTTGGGTGCATTATTTTAAGAGGCCTTCGTGAATTACAGTGAAACCTCTATCCATCGTTCCCGGAACTATCGTTTTCCCGGATGCATCGTCCGTTTTGTTCGGTCCCGAATACATCCCATATAAAATAATGTTACATTTTCCCGCTTCTATCGTTCCTCGAACTATCGTTTTATCGCATCAAAAATCTTAGTCCCGGCCCACAATTTTCCCGCAATGATCGTTTCTGAGAATTTAAAATGCTGGGTTTAGAGATAAATTAATACCGAAAGACGCACAATGTTTTTGGAATACACAGTAGCGGTAACCTGTTATGTCGCCCAACCAGCACATTCTTTTGGAATGAGGGTCAGCGGTGCAGGGGTGATAGTTGGAGTGAATGGCGGGGCTCATTGTCAGAAATTTTACGCTTTTAATTTGGGTGCACTCATATTTCGTTCCAGCGATGCCAGATGGCATGTGCAGTGTGAATTTCTTCACAAATGCTTTTATTATAAGTACAAAGGAAAGGCTGGCGGCACTTTTCATTCTTCTGGTTCATCTCGTTTCCAGCGGCTCAGGGTCTTCTACAGCTACGTTTCGTTGAGTTCGGCAGTAATAGTATTTCCATTCTTCCTGTTATTGTCCGCAAAGGGGGTTGGAGTGGTGAGGAAGAAGAAGAAGACGACGAATGCAAGCCCGAAGCTTTGCCGAGTTTTGCCGAAGCGCACGCTGCATTGGCGAAAGTGAAGTCGTTCTTTTATGCGCATAATATTAGTGAATGTGACGAGGAAAACATTTTGAACGTGGAAAGTGCTCTGTTTGGTCTAAAACGTAAAGTTTCGACAAACCAGTTGTCCATTAACGACTTTTTTGGTAAAAAGAAGTAACTTTGAAAGAGAAACATTGTTTTTTTTAAATTTTTAATGCTTTCCCGCATCTATCGTTTTCCCGCATTCATCGTTTTTATTTCCCACCCCCGCCGAAAACGATGCATCGAGGTTTCACTGTATATTATAATTTGCGTAATATAAGTCTTTCAAAAATCTATACATTTATTTTATGGATATCTTCTGATACATAACCAGAGATGTGTTGGTGTACAATTGGTAGAATATGGAACATCTTGGTAATATTCTGTATTTACAAGAAAATTTAGTTTTACTGTTACATGGGTATACTATTCTGCTGTGTGGGAACAGTAGCGTTTGCTTGGCGGTGACATGAAACTTGTTGGGAGAAATGCAGCATAGTGGCAACCTGCTACTGAATTCTTCATGTAGAATTTGTTTTAAGTTCTGTAACACTACTGACCATGTTGTTCTTGGATGATGTGTGTTCCTATTTGTAGGTTTTTGTGTCTTGATTAATTTATTTGCCTGCGTTATTTAGTGGATCAGAAATATATGAATGACCAGTTGTAACTGGAGATTTGAATATGATCCTTACAGAAAGAATGTTTCTGTACCACAGGGTAAATACTGTTTAACATTATTTATTAACAAGCCCCCCCTCCCCCTTTGAGAATGGCTCTTGACCTTTGAATGATGGCAGGTAGAGTCAAATGTGTATCCATCTCAGCACCATTTGGCTCGTCGTCGTAACTGAAAAGTCAAGTCTGATGTGATTGTGGATGTGTTCCGTCATTTGAAGTAAGGTACTTGTTTGTATGTTGCTTAGCTGCAGGTCCTTGTTGTATGTTACTGCAGTGAACTGGACAGTCAGAGTTTGAATCCCAGCACAGATGTTGGCATTTTGTTCCTTTTCTGCCACTTTAAAATGGATTTGATGTCCACCTATTCATTCATCTTATGAAGGTGGGCTTTAGTGTTGTCAGTGTTGAACCTGCGGTTTCTGCTACCAGGGAGTTAGTTTGTCCACCTTTTTAGTGGGTGAAAAATTCTTTTGTCATATATACATGTGGCTGGAATCTGAAGCTTGCTACTAATCCTAGGTACTGCCAAGGTTAAAATGCGTTTGTGTTTATCTCCATGTCCCATATCTGCCTTCAAGGTGTGCTGGCTAATTTATTTGTTATTCTATTTCATTCGTGTTTGATTATTGGAACAGTCCAATTGTCTGAACTAGGTATGTTCCCTGTTTAAGCAGGCCATGCTTCTGAAAATGTCTGCAGTGGATTTGGTCATTCTTGAATGATGATAGTTATTATGACATTTGGAATTTTTCATCAAAATGACAGCAAGATGAATGTAACAAAAAATGCAAAATGAGAGACAAACACAGTACAGAGTGATTGTGAAGCATATGATATTCAGATTGTCAGGAGTTTGTGTTTTGTTACGGAGTCCAAAATTGTAACCGTTCTTTCACAAGTTTTTTTCAGTCTGGTTCACTTCAGAATTCTTTTTATCCAAGATTAATTTTTACACAAAATTATCACTGTTTAATTCTCTCTTGAGGATAATGAACCACAATTTTATTGGAATTTTTTTTTCTGTGTGCTACATAGCTGTCCTATAGCATCTTCCTTCATTACATATTGTGAAACTCCTCCATACATACCTTGATTGGTTTAATTTTCTGTGGGTTGCAAGCCAAGCAGCGGCTCTTCCTGTTGGAGGCTTCATCAGGAGAGCTGATTGGAGGAGAGGCTTGTTGACTGCGCGAGTCACTCCTTGCAGGCGAGTAGTAAATGCCCACTCTCTGCAGGAAACTATGAAGAAGAGACAGATGTAGGATTTGAGGTTTTCACAGTGGCGTGAGTTTAGATTCAACTCTTACCACTAAAGTTACAGGTTCTCCAGAACACCAGTATATAATGAGAAGACTGCATGGTGCCATCAACCCAGAAGATTGCAATGTAAAGACAGATAATTTGACTCTGCACATTGAGAGGTGCTGATACACAGGAAGATTACTTTGAAAATTTTTCCATTATTCTGTATAACATCAGTCCTGAAATTTTAGGATTACTGCATTAAGTGGTTTCCATGAGTAAATACTTTTTAATGACTGGTATTTACTGTTACTCTAACTCCATTAACAATGACAGAAAATAGAGGCCCTGGGCTCTCCTCTTTAATGTATTCTTTGCACAATTTCTATGACCATTTTCCTCGTGTGACTAGAGTACACATTTTTAAAAATTAATTGTATATTTTGCCATATTTCAAATTACAGTAAAGTTTTTTTGTAGACTCCTTTTTCTAACTCCAAGAATAACTAAAAACAAGTCTTAAATTACTAAGAATAATGTATCTCTCATAGTTTGTAATATAGGTATATGGCATTATTGTCTTACCTTTATGCTCAAAACCTGTCACTTGTAATGGGTCTCCGTTGCGCAGAGTCCTTGAGAAACGTATATAGGAAACTCGCAGCTAGCCAAGAAATTGTCAACATTTTGTGGAACTAGAAAGTTTATTACCATGTTCACAAGAACCTGTCACTGATCCATGTGTTGAGCCAGATGAAAGCAATTCACAACCCTGTAGACCCAATTTTTTCCAGCCCCCTGTCTCTTCATCCCTCTGTACCCAAATACATATTATCATTAGCATCCTCTTATCAGACACATGCAATTTTTGTACTTCCCTTAACCTGGGAGACGAAATTTCGTGTCCATACAAATAAAGAGGAAAAATCACAGTTTTGTATATTTTAATCTTTATGTTTTTAGATAAGAGGAGGGAAGAGAAGATTGCTGCATGGTCATTTTCCTTGAATTTAGTCTACTTTTAATTTCCTTGTTAATGCAATTTTGATTTAGTGCCATTATTTCCAAATGAGCTAGGGCAGCTCAGTATGTTGTCTATGGACTAGGTGATGGGTTCTATCCTTGGTTGGGGCAAAGGATGTTTCCTCTAGTATCTGCTTTCAGACTGGCTCTGGGGCCCTCTCAGGTTTCTGTCCATGGGGTAACTGGAGTGCTTTCTCTGGGGATGAAGTGCATCTAGGGCCTGATGGAGACTACTCACCCCATCTAGTGCTGAGGTCATGGTGTGTAATAGGACAAATATACCTTACTATGGTTCCCAAATATTTGAACTTGAGACATTTTTCAGTGGATTTATTGCCTTGTAGGATTTGAGGTTTTCATGGTGGTGAGTCTGAAGATGGCTGTCTTCTACCAGACTACACAGCGCAACAACCCATAAGACAGCCATCTTCAATTTATTGCCTACTGTTAGAAAAGGCTTGTAGCTTGGTTCTTATGTGTTTACTTCTACACCAATGTTCTTACTGGCATCTAATAGAGAATTTTTGCTTTTCTTTATGGCATATGTGTTTTTACCCAATAAATTAACATCATCAGCACTGACCAAAAGCTGATGTGTCTCATTCAGATCCAATTCCTCTTTGTTTCCTTGAACTTTCGTGATGGCATATTCTAAAGAAAAGTTGGAAAAATAGTGATAAAGCATCTTGTTTCAGACCATTCTTAACAGGAAATGCATCATACATGTTTACTTGTAGACTTTACTGCAGCTTTCATTTAAACACTAGTTTCATGGGTATAACAAATTCAATGAGATTTTTGTATGATACTTTCCTTTGCACCAAATCAGATTTTCACGACGTCTCTAGTTAATGCGAAGAAATCAGAGAAAAATATAATTTTAAGTTGGAATTCGTGTCAGAAGAAAATACGAGTATTATCTAGATTGCATTCACTAATTTTGATGTTTAAAAGTAGTAGTTTGTGGGGTGATGTAGTGCAGGGATTCATTACCTAGGAGGTGGGGTCACCCAGTGATTGTCCAGGCGACTGGTCTGTGTGATGGTTCCCATGCGCTGAAGCAGTCTGTAATTTTCTTGCTCAATTTGTGTGGTGCGTTCCTGCTCTCTCTGCTGTTTCTTGAGCTTGCAGCACACGTGACCATGTGTGGGCGGTGGTCGTACGTCGATGGCAGGCAGGGCAGACTGAACCTTTTGGAAATAGTAACTTTGTTCTTATCCTCGGCAGGACCTCAAGGGGCAAGACAACTGGATTTTTCTGTTAAGATGAGCTCTGCCCCATTTCAATTTCAGACAACAGTAACTGGCTGAATGACTGATTTTCATTAAATTAAACAAGTCACTGGAG